GTGTCGGTGATCATGATGACTGACGTCGGGTTCACCAATTGTTAATGTATCGTTTATTTGATTAAGTAATCAGAAGGGAATAGTGAGCACTAACGAAGACGTATGTGAATACAATGAGTGTAGTTAAAAGTGTGGCTTATCGAGTCGCGGGCACCAGTTGATTACTTCGGCTGCTCGTCTAAACGTAGGTGGTTGTGTTTCTTTTCGCTGTTACACGTTTCCTGGTTGTCCGTAGTTTTCATGCCGGAGTTATTGGCCGTTTAGTTCCTATCCTGTGCGCCTGTCTGTGTTGTGTTGGACCGAACTGCATACCTATTTATTGTGTACAATGTCCATTTTTATGTGACAGTTGCGTGAACATGAATACAACTTGACCTGGTGTGCTTGAAGGTCGTAGGCCTGGCGCGGGACGCATATGGTAGCTGCGTAACCAAAAATGGATTGGATGGGAAATTATAGTGTGCATGGTGTCGTTTCACATTACAAGTGGAGCGGGAACTGTTACGTTGTTTGTGACGCATGATCTAGCGGGTGACCGCGACAGCACCGTATTTTTGATTGTCTCCTTCAGGAAGATTGAGCTTCACATCAAATCCTTACCCGTTCCTTTCCACCCTCGCTACCGTGCCACCCAAAGGAAGCACGAGGGCTGGGGTACTGCCAGGTTGCCCAAGTCTAGACAGGGGAAGTTGGAAGCAGAGGTCGGGTTCGAACCACGGACCTCCTGGTCAGTAAATTCGCGCTCCAACCACTTGGTCCAACTCACCCTTTCCATTCTAGTATGACTCAGTTGCTATGCCGCAGTTGCTTGAAACGATGATACTTGGGGTTGGATAGATTCGGATTGAGGTCAGTAGCTAGTCTTTTGGAAAAGTTATTGCAGGTTTTCAACCTCGACATCGTCCTGTAGGTGAAGTTAATGTATACGGAAAAGCCGAGAAAGATTGTACACGTGTTTTATCTTTTTTGAGAATCGTCAGAAGTGCGCATCCCACGGAACCCCAGGGAGTTTCGGCATAGACTGACTTTGCTTGCAGGATAAAGTCGCAGTTGAGATTTCCAAACTTCTCCATGTTATCAGCAAGTCGTTATCTTTTATTGTTTGAGAGAGTCGCGGAGGTTTGTGTTGGAAACGAGAATACTGGTGCTTGACTGGCTCATGTTTGCTAGTGTCGCTAACCGTATGGAGGGGCCCATCCAGAGAAACGGTAGCTACCAGTGTGGCTGGATTCGTTTACTATGGGTTTGGGACTGCGTAGTGATTTCATTATGCGATCTGGCAAGGATTGTTTGTACTCACAAACGTGTCTGTTGCATGGGCGTTACGTTTTCCAAAGCGACGGAGTACCTCAGAATTACTGTTCCGGTATCTTCATCAGCCCTGTTTCCTCATCACCAACGCTTTGAAGACGCGGTTGAGGAGACGCCAATAGTCTTACAGCACCTGGTCGCTGGATGGAGTGTATTGCTGCTCTATAAAGTCAAATCCCGTCACGTCCACTCCACGACTTTTGTATCCATTCTGGCTTTCTTCATCCTGTTATACAACCAGGACTGGTTTAGCTACTCAAAAAGAGGAATTTGTCTGCAAACTCCTCTCAGCCGTGCTGCAACGCGTGATATAATCCCACCCAATCTTTAATTGCACTTTACAGGTGTGGAAAAATATGCTCTATCATTCAACAAAACTTTCTGGGTTACTTAATTTACGTTTTCGAGAATCCAAATCTTTGTCTGCAAACTCCTCTCAGCCGTGCTGCAACGCGTGATATAATCCCACCCAATCTTTAATTGCACTTTACAGGTGTGGAAAAATATGCTCTATCATTCAACAAAACTTTCTGGGTTACTTAATTTACGTTTTCGAGAAATCCAAATCGATGGGGTACAATGTTGTCTGCGTACCGTACTTTCCCTTATTGACTGCTTCGTTGGTAATACTCGCGATCTGTTGATCAAATGAGGTCAACGAGCTGTACAACAGCGTTTTTACTATCTAAGTCTGTTTGCTGTTTGCTGCTACACTACCACCAACTGTGGTTTCTGGAACTAGCTATAAGAATGCCATGTTTTTTGTGTAATTATTGTCATTCATTATCTTTCCCACATCACTTTGTCGTTCGTTCAACATCTGACGAAATGCATCGAAGCGGTCCTCCATCCCTTTTGCGATTCATAAACGTTGCTTGGTTATCACCTGTCATGCATTTGGCGCTTAATTTTGCAGATTTAATTGACAGCCAAAAAAATTGTCAAAAATCACCTTTCGCACAAAATGGTGTGAATGATTAAATTTCTGGGGGAGGGGAAAATTTCAAACGAATTACATGTGTAGGTGGATCACTGTGGATCAGTGTCATCCTTATGTCCTTCTGGCAACCACATAAAAAGTAGACTTGATTGTTTTTTTATGCCAGAGTGCACCACCTTAGGACGCACTTCTGATCGCCCATCATCAGTATAAATGCAGATTCGATTGGGCATGTTTTTAAGCCCAATTATACGGTTTGTTGTGCATGAAGGCCCTAGTGGTCCTGTTTCATATAATATACAAAAGCGCATGCAACAATCAGCCTTTTGTTTTCCACTCCATTGTTTTCTTATCCTGATCAATTTCTTCCGCTTGCCAAGAAGCGAGCGTGCAATGTTTGATCAGTAGTGATTGGTAGTTAACGAAGCTTTGCGTGACATCTGAACCCAGTTTACAATGGATACGGGTGTTGTTGCATGATCATTGTTTCGTAAGCCAACACCCCCACAAATATCCTGTACCTGATGTCTTTTCTCGTGACGACCCGCCAATACGACCGTTATTCATCCCTCCGAACTGCAGTCGATTTCGCTTTCTTGTTGTCCTAAGGGAGTGGAAATACTGTGCTGACTTCGTGATCGTTTCAATCGATCCAGACCAAACGAGTATAAAGGTGCATGCGAAACCTGTTTGTCACAGAGGCGGCTGGCTTCTTGAGCAGCGATCTCTGTAACTAGCCTGGTGAACTTAGCGCCCGCATTACGTTGGCCAATTTGAACCGCTTGTAGCTTGTCTCTGACCACATAAGCTGATGCGATGTGTGGTTGCAAGGCATGGCCTCTTCAGGTTTTGATAACCGACGTGCCTGACGGTATCGATGAATTCGCAACGAAGTAATTTGCAAATCAGTGTTTGGTTGCGCAGCAAGTACTTAATGCGCGGAAAAGCTTAGCACGGTAAACGGCGATTTCTCAGTCGTATGCTATGCGTATCGAATTATTCTCTATCGAGATGACTGTTGTTCTTCATGCCTGCTTCACGATGCTGCAAATTGAGAGCTTCCTTCGGGTGGCATGGCATTTGGGCACCGAAAGGGTGCTACACCTGGACGATTTCTTTTCAATTGGAAGCTAGACAAGGTGACTTGACAGAAGGGTGTGAAAATATGATGTGAAGTTTAGTTACAGTCTGTCAGCCAGGATGGGGTCCTCGTGGCCCTTTCTGTGCTTAGTTGAAGACACTGCTTGAAATGACGGCCAACTGCGGTTAATGTCGTTCGTACTATCACTTCCTTTTCAGATTGTCTAAGTCCTTAGGCGTCTACGGACCTCAGAATGCTTGCAATAGGCTAACATCAGGTCACTTCCTCACTCAGTCTTTTTTGTCTTCTACTTCAAGCCTTTAAATATAATTTTCTCAACCTAGCGATTCCCATGCTGGTGAAAGAGAATCTCCTATTTCGTCTGAGCTTGTCGGGTTGATCAAGTAGCGTTTACTTGTTAGGACGGTCAGGTCCTAACGAACAATTCTATCCTTTGTAATATTTCACTGAGACTTCATTTTCCCTCTCTGTTGTACCCAACTGAGCCTCAGGGCGCTCTCTTCCATTGTTGGTTCATCTGCAATATAGCCAATCTCCAACTGGTGTCTCTTTTGTCTTATTCCTTGAGGTTTTCCCACTCAAGTAACTAGACTATCGGGCGAGATGGCCCAAGTGATTAGAGCGCGAATTTACTGACCGGAAGGACCCGACCTCTGCCTCTCGACTTTCCGTGTCTAGGCTTGGGCAACCTGGCAGTATCCCATCCCTCGTGCAACCTTTGGGTGGCATGGCAGTTAAGCACCGAAAGGTTGCGACAACTGAACGACTAACTAGACTATCGATGTGGCAGAATAAATTACATTAAGCTCCAAAATCACTCAGCTAGCACACACCAACACAACATTACTCATACTCAACAATGTGTAAACTGCATTCATGGAGAGAAATTTGTCAAGTGGTGGCCAACCAATGTCAGCACTTTTATTGTCATGTTCCTTCTCCACCTCTCTCCACCTTTGAGGTCACTCAAAGGGCTGGATGAGATCTACTTCTTCCGAAGAATGAGTTGATCATGCGATCACGGAACCACGGGTGACTAAAACATTCATAAAATGTAGCCGCCTGGGTGACGAGTAGGCAGCTTTCACCAGGTTTTACTGATACTATTGTGGACACCTCAAAGGGGTAACCCTTCTCAGAGGAATCCCCATACTCAGTAGTCGTCAAGTGGGACCCAGTTTGAGTTCGTGGCTGAGTTTCACTTCACGTCTGAACCTGACTTTGCTCGCAACTTTTGGTTCCTTCTACGTCGGCTACGATGCATAACTGAAGCTGGCCTCACTTCCATTAGTCAAAAAGGTACCAATTAGTTCAACTAATAAATATGCTCTTCCCGTACTGAGTATCCCTCGCCAAATTGGTTCCTGAAAACAAATGTGTGATGAGATTTGGCAGAAAATAATAACTTATGATAGCACCTTCTGCTCAAAATGATGTTTGAATTTTCTGAATGCCTTCTATTGACTACGTCTGCTACCTTATGGTTTCACTAAATAACCGTTCATCTGATTTGCCGTTTTACATTTGAACAGAGCATTCAACGCCTTCCACTTGGTTGAAAAAGTCTCGGAATCTTGTTGGAAAGGTCCTGCCCTCAGGTGGGTTGTTATTCCTTTTCCTAACTGCACCTTTTTTTCGAAATCCCAGGCAAAGACGGTGGTTTCGGCCACATGGGACGCCCAGTTCATGTTCCCGCCAGTCTGACGGGTGAATCGAAAGCCAAGTTTGCCCAGCACCAGTTTGACCTTGTTGCCAGTGACCTGATTGGTCCGTACCGTGAACTGCCAAATTATCGGGATTCGAGGTGAGTGAAACATTATCAGACGGTCATCATGGACGAACCGGATAGTTGATCAACCTGTGCATCAATCGCGAAGCTATTCACCGGAATCGCTCACTGTCGATCACGGCCTCATTCCTGCCTCAGTCAGTGTTTTTTTTTATAACGGTACCAGGTAAAGACAACTGTGGCTGAGCACACACCGTGACTACATCTTTGCCGCATAGGAGCGCATTGTGAACGTGCAGACTTTGTTTGTCGGTCGCTTGCGTTTCAGCACTCTACAAAAACATCTTTTATTACTGTCATTAAAAATACTGTAGAACAGCATACTCATACTAGCGAAAGACCTAAATGGACTTCTCGTTTATGGTATTCTCCGACTGAATGTGATGCCTCGTTTCGGCTGGCACCATATCCAAGTTGTCACAGTGTTTTCTGGACAGAACACAAGGTTGCTGAACATTTTCTGATAGCTCACTACCTCTTTTTTGGACTAGTCAGCTATGTGTGGTCCCCGAATTTCCATTACTTGAATATCAAGCTGTAGGTGGTGACGAGGCATACTGATTCACGAATTCCATTGTTGCTAGCTCATTTGAGTAGTTCAACTAAGCCTGTCAATTATGGTATTCTTGAGTTGTATCTTTTGTCAGGGCACCGTACTTCGATCTCTCGTGCCAACATGGTGTGTCACATCGTGTAGCACATTCAGTCGTGGAGTGGCATAAACGAGAAATTCACTGAGTCTCTCGTGTTTCTCGATTTCATTTGCCATTGAATGCGTTTCATCACTTACCATTTGGTGTTTAACTACAAGTTTCGTGAGAATCCGGATAAGACGCTCGCCTGATGAATCTCAATACGGGCGAAGTCGGTAGTTGACGTCAAAGATTTTTCATCAGACATGCTCTGTCAAGAAAGTGTTGACAGAAATACACTCACTCTTTTGCAAATCAATTTGGTTTTCACGAGAGACTCAGATGAATCTGTCGTTTATGATGTGCTGTACATAGGCCGCCTCATGTTTCATTTGGCACGATATTCAAGATATCGCAGTATATTTTCATAAAGGAAACTACTCACAAGGTTGCTGAAGAGTTTTCAGGGGAACTCTTGGACAAGGTCTAGGTATGGTTTCTTTTTCAATATTACTATATTCCTGTCCGGAGCACTAGTGTGTTTTTGTGACAGTAGTCTTGGGTATGCTCATTTATTTGATGAGCCAGATTTCCAAAGTTTACCACAGATATTCTTGCTTGACCAGAGTAATTATATGGTGTGCCGGAACTATACGACTATTTTCGTTCGATACGCACGACAGCCCGTGCGTGTCCACTTTTCATTCAAAATAACGACAGTGCGGGCGATCCTGACAGTCATGTGACTAGCTGGTGCGTCCAAGCAGACTGCTTCTGTAACTGCTCAGTAAGGTAAAGAATTATGTGGAGTTTCCAGACCGGGCGGTCGTAAATCTGCCTCATTTAGCACTTTTCTGCGGAAAGCGACAACTAAGTTTTTGACGTAACCACAACAGACAGAACTTTATCTGCGTTTAATCTGAATAATTCCTCTTTATCCAGCAAAGCACAATCACGCAATCAATTTATTAGTTATTAACCGTGTACCGTATGCACATTGGTTCCAGCAAGTGCGGGGAATACGGCCAAGCCTTGGAGAAATTTTCGGTTAATCATTCAGTTGTAACATCCTTTCGTATCTAGCTGCCGTGCCAACCGAGGGAAGCACGCGGCCTGGGATATTGCCAGGTTGCCCAAGCTTAGACGGGAATTCAAGAGGCAGAGATCGGGTTCGAACCACGGGTCTTCCGGTCCGTGAATTCGCGCCCTAACTACTGGAGACGATGGCTTGTTCAGTTAGTTCGAGAATCGGACAGCCATGCATTGAAGCCGATAGGTTTGATGTACGAGCGCCACTAACTGCGCGCGCGATTGGGCCATTTCCGCCAATGTCAATAACCATTGGTGATTTGAGTCCCGCGGTCCCCATCCAGTGAGGCGGCAGTTGCTCACCTGATTAAGTTTACTGGTTAATGTTGTACCAGACCATACACTGTCCACCTCTCGGTCGCTTCCACTCAGCACAGGGATGGGATAAAAGATCTCTTGAGGCAGGCGGTCTTCTGGCATGCGGAATACTCATCCTAACCAGCGCATCCTATGAGCAATTCATCTGTCGCGGGAGAGTTCCTTTTTCCTTGGACCATCTGGTGTACCTTAGCATTACTAGCCCGATGTTCCCCCCAAACCTGATCACTGATTTGAAGACAATAATGGTCAAACACTGACATCTTCTGTATGTTCTCTGCGCGTAGAGGCCACACTTTTGATCCACATAGCAGTATCGATCGTACCGCCGCATTGACAGACAAACTGGCATCATGTTGGCGCCATAGATGTCGGAGGTTGGAGAAAACTGCCATGGTCTCCCCGATTCGATAAGTTATCTCATCTCCAGTCAGCTTACCGAAACTTATACAACTGCCCAGGTTAACAAATTTATCTACACTATCGACCGGTTCACATGCTAACATGAGGTTTTGATCAACCGAATCCCACCAAGTCTTGTAGCAGTACTTTACACTTTGCAGGTGTGAAGCCAAACCATGCGGCAGAGTTATTTAGGTCGTGTAAAGTGGTTTGCATTTTGGAACGATCAGAACCAAGGAGAGCATACTCGATGTTTGTGAGCGAACGTGCCGGGAGCATTTCAATCCCCGAGTTTTCAGAGGCAGGCATAAACATTTGAAGCAGCACATCAATAAAAATGTTTGTCTTATAGGCGGTGTTCTTTCTCTGCTACCCATCTGGACATCAGCTAAGTCTCTGGTTCCAACCACTGACTATTTACTTGCCAATGAAATGCATGTCTACGCTTTTGGATTTCATCGACTGTGAAAACGACTTTGTTTTCTCAACCATCCTGTTCACACCCACCACGTAAGATTAGAACCATCTGTTATCGATACAGTCTCCCTTGTATAGTTGCATTCAAGCTCTTCACAGGATTCCAAGGTCACCTTTTTGTCGTTATGAATTATATTTTGGGCATCCCCACTGAGTTTGTGACTCACGTTGGGCGTGCTGCGCTATGTTTGTTCTACCCAGTCTGTCTCTGTTTTCAGATGCCTTGATATTGAACCTGACCAGTCACTGGAAGCGTGGAAAACCAGCATCATAATCGTCTTTCATAATGAGGCCTGGACAACCCTTCTCCGAACTATAAATTCAGTCATTAGACGAACGCCGCGGAATTTGCTGGAGGAAATCATACTTGTCGATGATGCGAGTACAGATAGTGAGTTAAACTGTGTTGTAACATTTGTTACCAGAGCATTGTGATCACAGCTTGCCAAGCCGTATCATTTTAGGGTGTCTTACACGATTTTCCAAAGGCGATCTGCTGTCCCAGTGTCTTGCGCAGTTCAGCACCGAATTTCTGTCCTGCTGGGTTGTACTCCAAGTGAGGTGCACCAGACTTTTCACGGTGGATGGTACTCTGACGCCTAGGTTCGTATATTGCAACTTTCATCCGTCACACGCCGAAACCGTTTGCACTGCGTGGCCAGCTGCTTGATTGTAGTGTTCGGTACGACAGATCGGCGGTTTTTTGGAACTGACGAGCTTGCACTGGCACGACTAACTGTTGGCATTCTAGAAGTTGATGTTCGGAAGCCTATGGATAGACGGCTTGTTAGTGGCTATGCAAATTCCAGTAGACAGTTACTGGTTTTTTACTGGAGGGTCCGTGGTTCGAACTCAGCCTATGCCTCTCGACTTCTCCTGTCTAGGCTTGGACAACCTGGCATTACTCCAGTCCATGTGCTTCCTTCGGGCGGCATGGCAGCTAGGCACCGAAAAGGTGTAACAGCTGAACAGTTTTTTTTTACTGGAGGGTCCGTGGTTCGAACTCAGCCTATGCCTCTCGACTTCTCCTGTCTAGGCTTGGACAACCTGGCATTACCCCAGTCCATGTGCATCCTTCAGGTGGCATGGCAGCTAGGCACCAAGAGATCGCCTTATCACTATACGTGACTGTGTCAGTGTGTATCCACAAAATCACATGTCCCTCTGTGAGGTTACCAGGCTACGCAAGATCGCGAGTGGCATTCACGCTTCACAAGTTGAAAACACAGTCCGCTTACAGTCATACGCGTTCGGTCAGCTATCCTCCAACCAAAAATCATTGCAAACAACTCAAGGCAATCTTAGACCTAGGTAAACTAAGCAGCGAACATCCGTTTTTGATCGGTGTTGCGATCGACGCATTTGGCAACTTGGAACAGACCTCGGCCTACGCCAACCGTCACACGGCGAATCGGATGTTGAACCGTTCAAAGTCGAATAGATCCGAATACTACTCAAAGAGATGTGTGAGGAGTGGCGAACCATATTGTCTGTACACGAATAAAACCCTTGTATTAGTGGTCACAGTTGAGTTTCCAAAGCTATATGGCAGTGTAATGACAGTCTAGTGGTTATACCTAGTGAGGGCAACCACATCAAATACCGATTGGCACTTATTATCCTTGCTTATGGAATTCGGTTGAAATTTTGCGAACTTTGTCTAGCCGGATCTCGAATTGGCGTGGACTCCGTCTACTAATTTACGAACAAAATGCCAACTGTGGTCGCTGAGGGTACGGTAGAATGCGGTGCATATTCTATTGCAGCTATTCAGCGCTCTGCTTGGAGTTTTTTAAGGTGAAGCTAACTTTCACATCCATTTTGGACACTTCTAGGGCCTGCTTGTCATTGATCTTGAAATGTTCTTGTCAATCAAGCTCTCTTCCACATGGTCTCAGAAGATTCTGCCGAGTCTTTCGCTGTTGACGCCTGTTGCGAATTAATTATCTGAGCGACCGATCACGTGTTTACTCTTCAACCGTAATTGGTAGTTTTTTTCAGGTTTTGGGTCCTGTATGAAATGGGGCCGACTTTGTTTATCTACCAGTCTTGATGCCAATCTGCGGATCGTTACACACTTATCTTAGTTGCATCGCCTTCTCGGTGGTAATCGGTGGCAAGTAACTGGTTGCAATTAAGTGAGTCGTGTTTTTCTCTGTTTTCAACTGAAGATTGTTCAGTGTGAATTAACGAGGGGCTAATTAGAATATGTGAACTGCTCCGAACTGAACCTTTCACGTTGAAAAATGTGACCAGTTTGGTAGTGGACTTAATAAGCTTTGCTAATGAGCGAGAGCGAGAAACTTTTGTGTACAGTGTGATCGATTCAAATCATGGTAAAACCAGACACCATTATGGCTCGACCACTGTCAGTTGTCTAGCGTTTGACATAATGTGTTTGATTGATCATTTTCTGGTTGTCACCCATGGTTCCGATGTCTTGTACTAAATTCGGTGCGCGGTAACCAACGTCTCGGATCGTGGGTGTCACTCATGAACTTTTTCTTGCACCGACCGGTCGAATCTTCATCCATTTCATAAGATTTCAACGTCCTACAGAATGCTTTTTGTATATGGCAGACGAGTGCATTTTCGTGCTTCGATCTGAGCAAATCAGGGGCGTGTCATTCGGTTATTGTCGTAAGAGATTAATTAGTTCAATAGGTTATGGACGGAGATACTTAAGAATCCCTCTTCCTGCTTACTTTAGAATAACTGTTTCCTGAGACAAGACTTCACAAATCGGGGGGCGAAATGGCCCAAGTGGTTAGATCGCGAATTTACTGACCGGAACGTTCGTGGTTCGATTCCGACCTCCGCCACTCGACTTCCCCTGTCTAGGCTTGGGCAACCGGGCAGTATCCTAGCCCTCGTGCTTCCTTCGGGTGGCGTGGCAGCTAGGCACCGGAAGGGTGCTGCAGCTGAACGCTTTCTTTTTTCTTTCTCACAAATCGTGATCCAGTTTGCCACTGGAACCGACAGTGTCCTCCACCATACAGGAACTTGGTCGTTCTATTCTATAGCCCCCTAAGCTGGCCAAATTCATGGGTGTGTGGATGCTTCAACATTTCGTGCGGGTGATTACACTCAGCAATATATAACTGCAAATGACTAGATATGATAGGTGAACAACACAGTGCTTTTCTCTGAATACGACCGCTTTGATTTTGATGGTGGCATGTGCAACCCCGCCCGAATTCAAGGCCGTTCTAAAAATACTCTAGTTTTGGAGGGCCCGTACAATTCGGTAAAACTGCACCGCGCCATAACAGTCCAAGAGCGATTGTTGACAAAATATTATGGAATCAGCCCAGCTGACCACTTCACTAAGTTTTATTACTACCGAGGCAGCTTAAACAAAAGCTCGTCCACTTTAGGCTCGTCATTGAATCCGTGAAATTTGTCGATAGGAGGGTTTTTCACTAAAGTGGATGATAGTGAGGGGCGAGATGGCTCAAGTGGTTAGAGCGCGAATTTACTGACCGGAAGGTTCGCGGTTCGAACCCGACCTCTACCTCTCGACTTCCCCTGTCTAGGCTTGGGCAACCTGACAGTATCCCAGCCCTCGTGCTTCCTTCGGGTGGCATGGCACCTAGGCACTGAAAGGGGGTTACAGCTGAAAGATTTTTTTTGAGGCTGGCGACCACACATTCAAAGACTGCAACCAAACCGCATAGACTGAAAGGTTTGTTGACGTTTTGAACTTCAGGCCTCCGTCAACTTTACGGAGCTTACTCCATTAATGGACCAAATTAGAAGCAAACCATATTGATTCTCCTAAGAACAACTTGAATATCTAATATCCCCAGCTACTGAAAGCTGTTCATCCTCTCTTCGTAGTGGGTTGTGGATGGAAGTTGCTACTTAATCGACTTTCTGTTGCCAGTCCACTTGGTTGTCGGCGATCGTTCCACAAAACGGACAGTGTCCTCACAACAGTAGCTCAGACATAGCCCAGTAGTTCGTCTTGAACCATCAAGGGCTGCTCGAAACAGTAAAAGGCGAATATACACTGCAGCATGTACAGTGGAAAATCGAGGATGGAATTTCTCCAGCATGTTTTTACATAGGGAAAAACACATATATGACATTTTCTGTGTATGTGATACCATTCTGTTCACATGCACCTCTCCCAAACGCGCACGGTTGTCCTCTCATCTCAGTTATCTCAAGTGTATCGATACTTCCCGTTCTCGTAGTACACGGATGTTCTTTTTTTGTATTACTGTGGATGTAAGCACTGCTTTCGTGTCCCCCGCTTTCTCTTCCGAGGCTCCCCGGTAGAGAAGGACCGTTCTATGGGTTGCTGCGATCGATTGTCAGCAAGCTGCGTGTCCCCGTGGGCCGAGGTGATGTCCTCAGTGTACTCGACTAGCGGCTACCATACCGTCAGCTGCATACGTTATCTTATGACGGCGTCTGTAAATCTAATGCACAGTCATCACAGCTACTTACTCGCAAGTCCATGTCATAAAGTACCGGATGCCGTGGATGTCCTCAACCTCTTGCTTGTCGTGTGCAAGTCAACAGTCGCTGGATGGATATTAGGTCGAGTGTGTCTGCCTTCTCTTGAACTGAGCGGCTGGTAACAACATCAGTAGCTGTTCTCGCCTCGGTCTTTAGTTTATTGCTGGAGGGGCGACCTTCTACACAACTGTAATGATCGATAGACGATAGGTTTGTCGACAAAGGAACGCGTACAAGTGCCCAGTAGTCGCTTTTAAAGCCGTAGTGGATCCGAATTCAGACGAAAATCACAGGGAGGTTGTCGGCCTCATTGCGGCGTAGAGAGACTGATTTCAGATTGTTTACGTAGACACATTCAATCGGTGTACGGTTCCATTCTGCTACGTTAGTCGGACTGCTAGAGATAAACATACTGGTATAGTTTATGTTAGAATGACAGCTGATGACCTTAAAAAGTGCCTCGTGTTCCCTCTGTCAAACTGAAATACCGTTTGTCTTGACATGTTTCACAGGGACTTCATTTATTCCAATGCACCTGGTGTTACCAAGGCTTGTCTGTCTAAATGTGTTAACGCCCTCACCACAGAATCGGGCGACGAATAGTGTGGTGGTTAGTGTACCAAAGCGTTTAGAACCCCGTGGAAAACGTATGGCTATTGTCCTGAACATCTTCGATTTTTGGATGCAGTCTGAATATATCGGTGAAAGGAAGAAGGCCTTCGCTGCGGAGTTGTTTTTATTAGGAAATGCCAACTGAACAGTTAGAGACTACTGGACAGGGGAGCAAAACTCTCATGTGCATCTCGTTTACAAAACTGAATATCCATCTTCTCCTTGAACGCGTCTTCCTGAACTTTCCTGGGTATTTATTGACTATTACTCAATTGCAAGCAAATGCCACAGAGCGACTCCACAAATTCCGTAATAGATCGCACTTTTCAAGAGACATAAAGCGGACTTACGAGAAAGCATACTACTCGCATGCCCCCCTCATCAGTAGTATCACCGTTACATCGCTAGTCATTGCTCAGCTCCTGGTGCTACACGAATTTGGTGATCAGGTTCGATATTCTCATCAAGTTTTCTCAAAGTTATCCTCTGAATGTCCCGATGTTGTAAGACGTCGGATCTTTCGAAGACTCTTCCTTTCCGAATCTTCCATGATGAAGTAACCGGGGCAGCCGTCACTGATAGCCCTAGATGATCTCCTCAAGTTCAGCCCATCTTCAAGATTGTTCAACTGATAGAATAGAATTCTTTGCTCTCGGGCTCCATGTCGCTTGTGTCTCGAACCAATATCTTGAACGTTGTTAACACACCAAAACACGCAGATGTATTTAATCTTCCAGGCTGGTCAAGAAATATCAGCATCTCCTATTCCAGTCTTGATGCATTTCCTCAGATGCGTTGGAATGGTACCAGATATCCTTGCCATCTATGTGGTTATAACCAAAGATCCTGTTGACTGCTCAACAATTCAACTTCCAAGAACTCGTTCGAAGTCGACAAACTCATGTTCGCTGACTTGTAACTTTTCGTTTCGCTGTGCTTCGTGTTGCCTAGTCATGATACCTTTCTTATTTATCTGTCTAAGGCTCTCCTGTGGATGAAATTTTGTACGCAACATTGAAAAAAATGAATGAACCATGAAAACTATCAAATCCTCAAGACCATCATTTTTCTTTGCCTGATCTTCTTTGACAGATTCCTCATACATCACTTTATTTTCTGAACCAAATTACAAAGAATTGTTTCTCACTGAAAGTGACCAACAGTTCTCCGAATTTTCCTCAAGCACTTTCTGCCTCGACTGTTTTAACGGTAATTGCTGACTATTTTGTGAAGATGAGGAACGGAGTTAATCCGAAAGGGTTTAAAACCGGGAACGTCTGAGCTTATTGTTATCTGCGGTCCGACTGACGGTTTAGTCTGAAACCGCAGTCACCGGGAGAGTTTGACTCATGCTGTCGCAAACGGATGCTTTCCGTCCTTCCTGTGCCATGGGAAGAGCCGATTGTCACGTCCTGGCTACGGGTTCAGCCGACCGAAAACGAGCGATTGCTCGGTTGGCGAACTTGGGCGTCTTTCATCACATGTGTTCATCTGTCTGCATCCGCCCCTGATTCGTTTGTGGTCCAAGTGGCATCCCTAAAATGACGCATCACATTGCCGCCCAGTCTCTCGTAGCTGTTGAATACTCCCGAATCTCCAACCACCAAAATTTCGATGGCCTAGCTCAGTTGCATCATCGCTTTGTCGTACCCGAGTGACGGAAAAATTGAGTCTTTTCTGTTCCACAACCGATTGTTCCCCATGCCATCCCTGTATGCGGATGGGATGACCCGGAAACTGCGCTAGTTGCTCGGATTTTGTCGAGACTCACAAAGTGCGGCGCTAGAGGTTCCGGTCTTCGTCGGAATTCGAACGATCGGTCCAACCATACCAGGCATACCGTAGGTTCTGTTTCTAGCGCCAAATTACTGTTGCTTCAGCAAGCATAGTGGGCGGTTTGAAAGTCCGGACACTTCTCTAGTGTTAGAATTGAACTGTAGCCGAACGGATGGGGGAACATTAGAGGTTGGTGGTCCAGATGCTGCGATTCCTACTCTATAAGCTAACCGTAAAAACAGGGAAACGGAAGTTAACATTTAGTTTTGTGACTGTTCCTGATGATGGTGGTACTGTGCTACCCTGGAATGGTCAGCATCGATAGCCTCATGTTATTCTATTGGGTATTAGTCTCTCCGGAGAAGTGAGGGCAGATACATTCCACAGCCCTTCTTGGGCAATCGTTTCTCCAACATCCTCAAATTCTTGTTTGCAATTACCCGAGCTGATCAGAGGAAGTTTACTACCGGCATCGACGTGTTCCGAGGATAGTATGAGATGGCTCAGTGATTAGAGCGCGAATCTACTAATCGACAGATCTGTGGGTCGAACCCGACCTTTACATCTCGACTTGTCCTGTCTGGTAGTATCTTAGCCCTCGTGCTTTTTTCGGCAGCACCGAAATGGTGTTACAGCTGAACGATTATCTTTTCTGACCTGTTTGTTTGGCTTTTTCATACTGTGAATCCGTGGATCCACGGAGATCTGCTTTATAGTTGTCTGTGTGTGGTGGAACCAGTTGGACTTTCACATTAATGTTTTATCTATGATTTGATTCCCTTCTACACAGCGATCCCCAAACGGAAACCCCTTGAAGAGAAGTCAATTTTTGATGCTAGACAGGTGCATACTCTCCCAAAGAAGGATCAAGTATCTTTTTCACAGTGGTGTCTTATTTAGGGATGGTTGTATTGCTAGGTTGTTTATGTTGTTCCCTAAAGCGAAAGTCGATGTCGGTTTTTGTTAGATGACTCTACTGACAGTCGCGTTTTTACTCTAAATTGGACACTTCAGAACAGCTTGGTGACCCACTCGATGGATTCGTCTCCCAACTTTCCGTCCCTTGTCACGTGGAACGGATGGGCAATCGGAGTGGTTTGGTGCGAGCTCGCCTTCGGGGCGCTGGTGTGGCCAAAGGGAAGACGTTGACTTTTTTGGACGCTCACTGTGAAGCCACCACAGGATGGCTGGAACCGCTGCTACATCAAATTGCGCTGGACTCGCACCGTGTCGTCTCGCCCAGCATCGACGTTATCCAGGAGTCGACTTTCGAGTTTGTGCCTGGTAGGTTCGGGTCTTTGCTGGAACGCGGAATTGGTCTTTTTCAAATGTTCTCCAACGGCACGAAGTCCTTTCTCTTCCGGTTCTTGAATGACATCTTTTTCTGATTTTGAATCATCGTTTGTTTGGTATTCTTTACCGATTTCGCTTGGTTGATAGTCGTTTTGGCAACAAAACTGCATGCCTGGATCCCGTCTACTTTGTCTATACCTTAATAGTTTGCGTCCATGAACAAGCCGAGATCAGAAAACGCAACTGGAAGCCAATTTTTCCTGGAAACAGTGATATTAAAAAAGAAGTCTTGTGTAGAACGGTTTTATATCCGTTTCAAGCACATGACAATCGTCCGAGGAGATAGACTACACGTGGCTGAGTTTTATCAGTGGTACAGACTAAGCTCACAACGGCACTGAGTCCTCTCATGACCATTCCATGTTTGCCTTCTGCCAGGTGCGCCAAACACATGGGGCTACTTCGACTGGAGGCTTTCGTTTCATTGGGGCCAGGCCACTGAACGTGAGCGGGCTCGGACACACGGAGATCCCAATATTCCGTTGAGAACCCCAACAATGGCTGGCGGATTATTCTCCATCTCGAAGGCGTATTTCGAGGAGGTACATGTTGATCATTTCCATTGTGTGTGTTCGAATTCATCGTTCGCCTTTAGGCTGTCTGTTCCGCGTTTGTGTTCTTTGTTTGCCGACTTACTCAGATTAGAGAACTCCTGTGGAACAATCGGATGTAACTTGCTTGAGCGTTAGAACTGAAGCTTTTCTTATATGCTGTTCTGAAACTCTTCTGGATCGAAAGAAGCCACAAGCCCAATAGCTATTTCATCCTTTTTATTCTAACTTAGTCATTTTCTGCTGGCAGTTGGTTTCCTTGTGGTTTGACTTCACCTATCACTTCGCCAAACTGCACAACTTCCAGCATCTCTCGTCGAATAGTTGAGCCATGTTCAAAGATGACATTCGCAGCATGGTTTGGCATTTCATGGTTGCAAAGCACTTTCTGATCTTTCTCAACTTCTCCAGCAACTATGCCCATTTTACTTTCAACGTCTTCTGGATATTGCAGGTGGACAACTTTCTCGTTCGAGGAGGTGTCAACACTGGAGTTTCAGATCTCTTCCAGAGTTCGCCTCACTGCCCCATAGAGTGGACACCCCTGGTGGACACCACTGTTTGTAGGCAAGCTTCTGGAGAGCAGAATAGTCCCCCAGTGATGATTCCATTTCGGCTAATCTCCCTGACTAATACATCACAGGTCTGTGTGATATTGCAGTTTGATGGATCCACGGGAAGAGGCACAAGCGTCCATAGGTCACCGAGTCAAATGAAATTGCTCGCACAGGTTGTGCAAGTTTCTTTCAGTGGGGAGTTGCAGTTCACGCCGTCTCTTCAATCGATAGTAGTCCAGATGCAAACTATTAATTGGTTGTATTTGGCATCAAAGTGAAAATTTAATGCGTCTGTCATTAGCCGTGTGTCATCACATCAACGGTGTGATTTGCAATTCCATCACGCGACACTCCTAGGCGCATTTTACTTCACTCAGCTATTGATATCAGCTCTCTTGACTTTGGTCACACACACTGACTGGGCGAGGACTTGGTATTAGTCCCCTTTATACCTCAGTCTATCTGTTATTTCCTCACAGTTAGGCACCTACGATGAAGGCATGGTCGTGTGGGGTGGAGAGAACGTGGAAATGTCGCTACGTGTATGGCAGTGTGGTGGCGAACTGCTCATCCTCCCTTGCAGCCGTGTTGGTCACGTGTTTCGCAAGGTGTCCCCATATAGTTGGCCAGGTGGTGTCTCCCACGTCCTGTCACGGAACTCCATGCGTACAGCTCTCGTTTGGATGGACGATCACAAGGTGTTCTATTTGAAGTCCAGTCCAGGTTTGTTGGGGACCCCTTTTCATCTATTTACTTTGGAGTCTTCATTTGCTTGTTTTTTTTTCGTTTAATTTTCATGTCGCTCACAACGGTTTTTCGTCAGACTGCACCGTCGTCAAGTGCGCGCCATCTCATCAAGGTCGATACTTCTGTACTTCATCGTTGTAGGTTAAGTCCACTCGGAAGACGCGATTAGCACTTGAAAACTGTTGTGATCGCACAGCCTTTATGCTGCCCCTTGGTTTGCTGTTTCGCCCACTAGTGTATATCATAACTCAGAGTAAGCGCAACCACCGTGTAATGGGAGAAAAAAGTCATTCCATTTGCTTGTCCCTAGCTGCCATGCCACCCGAAAGAAGCACGAGGGCTGGGATATTGCCAGCTTATCCAAGCCTAGGCAGGAGAAGTCGAGAGGCAGAGGTCGGGTTCGAACCACAGACATTCCGGTCAGTAAATTCGTGCTCTAGCCACTCGAGAGAAGTGAACTAAACATGGCTGTAGTAGAGTTATCCCCAAGTTCGTTTCAGTCTTCATAACGCGGAGTGAGCATCGACACGCCAGAAATGGCTTGATTCGGATGAATGTGAATGCTGACGCCTTCTATAGTTTCGAAGCCCGTCCTTCTTTCAAGCATCTAATTAGGTGTTCGTCCAGTCCGAGTGACCTCAAAGTCTTTTCGCTGCCCACCCTCTATAACCGAAATGAACCGACAGATCGGAAGTCGCCACTCGTGCTCTTAATGAACAATAGAATCACGCTAAGTGTACGATGTAATTGGACCATAGTGACGTCCTATCATGTCTAGCTGTCGATCTGTGTTCAACTGTCTCTCCTCTGATGGCTAAATGACGCAGTGCTCGAGTAATTATCCTGACGGTTGAGTTTTTAGTGTCCCAGAGCTTTAACAAGGATGATGCAGTTGTGCATTGCTTTGCAGCGCAGGCTGACACCGCCGCATGCATGGGACCTACGTCTGGGATTTCGGAATCCCAGAACTTACAAGAACATGCCCACCAGTGATTCACCAGTCAAACTCAGAATTGAGCACACTACATCTCTAATACTACCGTAGCGACTCCTGAAAACTATGAATGTGCACTGGTGAACATGAGTTGCCATAAGGATCATCGGATAAGTCAGGTTTGAAGTCGAACCGCAGTCATACTTTCTGTGCCATCTCAGGCCCGAATACCGAAACCTTATCACTATGCTTTGCAATCCGGCCAACGTGGTTGTGTTTGTTTGAAGACTACTGTGATAACGGTTTTCGCCTCAGCTTAGTTCTCGGTCTGAGTCTCCAAAGCTAGCGTCTCCGTCAAAAATCAACCGTCAGAGGCGCGCAACGTATATTAGCGCCCAGAACCAGGTCAAGCACACTTGTACAGCGCGTCGTATGTAAAGTTAATGGCGCGACAACATTCTGTAATTTCTGACGCCTGGATGCGCCATTGGTAACCGGCATTCTGTGAATACTTGGTCGCGACCAATCAGAGCTCGCCTTGATGCGGAACCGGCAAGTGTCCCGAACTTTTGGCCAGTTTTGTGTGCCATAGGCTTTTCAGCGCCCAACTGCAAGCGGTAAATTGTACCTGTGTGGAATTCCGCCTAACAGCTACCAAAACTCTCATATTTAATGGCTTCAGGATTGTCAGACCGGGATGTGTATCTGAATCCACCTGCTACCCTATGTGATGGGCAGGGTCAGAATAGGGAGGGAAGCTATTTGACCTCTTTTCGATAGATAAAATGTGCTCAGAGAGACTGTTGGATTCTCTGGGGGGTACCTTCTCTCCTGTACTCTCCACTATACTGTCGTGTGGTTCCCATTTGGTCTTTTGCTCCACGAATCGGGCTCAGTGGAGGGAAACCTTGGACAAATGTGTTGCTGTGTGAAGAAGTAAAACAAGTATCATTCCAACTCGCCTTTATTCTCAAAGTATACCTTCATCCTTGCCAGACGGTTGTCTAACATACGCTTACCACAAACTCCGTGGCTCTGAATGAGAGCCGTTGATTCATTCTTACCTGCTGCTCCTCCTGTTGAAGGGTGTTGATACGCGCGGTGTCATCGAACTCGCGTATGCCATTGACACTACCCCCTACTTCACAAGTTCTCTTAATGGAATCTCTGATTGCTTTACACCCCAGCTCTTCATGCTTTTAGTGGTCTCCAAAATCTCAACACGTTTATCGCTATGAATTTCTTACCAGTGTTATGTTTTTCGTTTTTGTAGACGCAATGCGCACCGATTATGGTGACATATCTGAGCGTCAAGCTTTACGAAAACGGCTCAAATGCAAGAGCTTTCGATGGTACCTGGAAAATGTCGATGTTGAATCTGTGTTTCCTATCGACTTTCATGGCATTGGTGAGGTTAGTATCTTTGTCCTTTTCAAAGACGATCAGATTGGTGAACTTGTTCTTCTCCGACAAGTCGGTAGATAAAAGTTCATTGATAGTTCAAAGTCAGCATTTTAGCAGTTGGGATATACCCGTACCAGTATTTGATATAACACAATTTTCGTGACTAAACCAATTCACTCATTTGCTTCATTTGAGAAGTCATCAATAACACTTTGGAACATAGATATGGTTGGGATGCACTGGGTTAACAAGACCTCTGATCAACACACCAGTGTGGTTACAGATCCGTTGATGGCTTTTTCAGCTAGCTGTTCCACTCTTTCTGGATCCCACCAACCCTTCATTCAAACTATAGAGTGACACATTACCACTGTCATGACGACGCGGTGGCACGGGGGTCGTGCATATATCGATGACGAGACTGCCCTGTTCCTTTTCAGAGACAGTCATAGGCTGCCTAGGTTGGTAGTGACTCGAATTCTGACGAAGGTGCTCCGGCTTCTTTAAGGGGTTGTCTTGTTCGAGAAGTACACTCATTTGGTTTTCATGAGAGCTAAACTGAATCTCTCGTTTATGCTATTCTACAACTGAATGTGCTGCACATAGGCCACCTCATGATTCAGTTGGCACGATATTCGAGATATCGCAGTATGTTTTCATAAAGGAAACTACTCTCAAGTTTGCTGAAGACTATTCGACAGCCCACGACCGGTTTTGCCCTTCTTGGGACTCCTCAGTTAGGCGCAGTTCCCGAGTTTCCGTCAACCTTATGTTCTACTCGAACCCAAATTGGACTGTTTTTGAGAAATACACTCATTTGCAAATCAATTTGGTTTTCACGAGAGACTCTTGCATTTCTGCGACAGTATGGTGCAACGTCAGACTACTAGAGGTAGAATCAAGATGGTAGTGACATATTGTCGGACTGCCCATCGCCTTTCTTTCGTACCGTTTTCACGAAATATCTATGAAGTCGATCTACCTCCTTTCAGACGATAGTCACTTCGAAGTGGTGTGAAGGCAAACTTCTATTACCGTTTATCGCAAGCTACCCATAAAAAGTGTGTTTGGGTGCGTGCTGTAAGCAAATGATCCATTTCTATGCCATCCAATGCGGGATTTATCTTTTGCAAGCTTTTATAAACTATGTGCTTTTGGGAAGTACGCTAATGGACGATGCCAATTACTCTGCCGAACGGAGAGTCTCACCGGGCACCTAATGGCGCATCGTTCATGGAACTGTTAATTTTTCGGTCTGCTGAAATGTAACTGCATACATTCATAACAAACTGGTGGTCAAACACTTGGGATATTCCATGTGCCACCTCATAAAATTGTAGCGAATCCATAACAGATAGCGATAGTTTGTAGATGATGTGGATATTTCGGGGGAAGAAGGGGGGGGCTCTGATAATGTAATTGAAGTACACCTGGAAATGGGTCTGCTCGGAAGCATTAGACAGCTGTCTTATTCTTGCTGAGGATCGTCAACAGTACGCACCTCTCAAATCTGTTGAAGTATCCGAATTCACCAACGTGCGATTAGTGACAAGGTCCGTATCTAACCTGTTGGTTGGGCTTCGGCCCGTCTAATTGTTCAGTTTCATAACCTCCGTGAAGTACTCATCTGAAGTGACTTGTTTGCCTTACCCTTCCGTATTCGTTTCCAAAAAGTCCTACTGTGTCCATCACTCTAGTGCACTGTTCTTTGACGTTGTGTCGAAACCACAGAGGTCTGTGATGCCGTTCATCCGATTGGTGGTGTAACAGCCCAACGTGTGCTCTTAGCACCCTGGTCGGCCGGATGGTATTTAGCACCCACTTGTAGCTGTTGACCGGGACCAATGGCGGATGTAATCCAATATTGTCATGGACACCATTACATCAGTATTCAACAACCATGATTTATATTCATATAGTCATATTCATAGTCACACCACTCTCGTTTGAACGGACATCCTCCAGTTCTGGTGTAATTATTCCGGTGAGTCCACACTAAAGAGACTTGAGTTTCGCTCTTATTAGAGCAAATCAGCAGTGCATACCCAATGGCCGTGCCTGGATTTGAACCCCGGACATGTGACATGCGAGTTGAGCATGTTACCACTACTCCACCAACGCGAATTATCACATCTGAATGGGCGAACGTGTTCACACTTGATCGATGTGATTGGTGTGTCCGACTAATCGAACGACGACCCAGTAACTGTCCTGGTTGTGACGGTCAATTGACNTTTGCCTTACCCTTCCGTATTCGTTTCCAAAAAGTCCTACTGTGTCCATCACTCTAGTGCACTGTTCTTTGACGTTGTGTCGAAACCACAGAGGTCTGTGATGCCGTTCATCCGATTGGTGGTGTAACAGCCCAACGTGTGCTCTTAGCACCCTGGTCGGCCGGATGGTATTTAGCACCCACTTGTAGCTGTTGACCGGGACCAATGGCGGATGTAATCCAATATTGTCATGGACACCATTACATCAGTATTCAACAACCATGATTTATATTCATATAGTCATATTCATAGTCACACCACTCTCGTTTGAACGGACATCCTCCAGTTCTGGTGTAATTATTCCGGTGAGTCCACACTAAAGAGACTTGAGTTTCGCTCTTATTAGAGCAAATCAGCAGTGCATACCCAATGGCCGTGCCTGGATTTGAACCCCGGACATGTGACATGCGAGTTGAGCATGTTACCACTACTCCACCAACGCGAATTATCACATCTGAATGGGCGAACGTGTTCACACTTGATCGATGTGATTGGTGTGTCCGACTAATCGAACGACGACCCAGTAACTGTCCTGGTTGTGACGGTCAATTGACCCGCCAGTCAGGTAGCGTGACATACGCTTGAAACCCACTGGGCAACTTTTGGTTGCAGTTTTGGGGTTTTGCGGGATAGATATTTTGTTCATAATCACACCACTCTCGTTTGAACGGTCGTCCTCATGTTCTGGCCTAATTATTCCTTGTTGTGAAGAAAAGGGTAAAAGTGGAAGAGGAAGGGACTCGGTGCTGGCTTACCCTAATCATTCCAAGGATGAGATCGCTTCACTTAACGCGTGGCCGATTTCCGGCGGATTTCGTTTACCATCTGTAGACGATGCCTCAAGATTACGTTGGTATGGCTTCAGTCACCTACTGAAACCCTAAAACTCCACCAAAATCTCAATAAGGAAGCCGGCAAGCATCCAGGACAGTCAATCATTCTAGCAATTCATCAAGAGCCGATATGCGTTTTCGGGCAGCCACAGAAGCACGGACGAATGTGATCAGCGTTTAGGGATTTCATCGAAGCACGATCGATGTTGATGGGTGTTCATCAAACGCCTATCAGACAGCCTGGATCAGTGTCAAAAAGTGCTCTTTAAGTAGCACGGGGCCGTTGTAACTCTTGCATTCGCTTGTTGCAATAAAACTGTTGTGTTCCTTATCGGTGAGTCTTTTTCCGACGCCAGGCACTGGAGCGGGATCACCAGTTTGATATAACAGTAGTATAGCATAGTAGTATATTGGGCTTACATACCGGGCCACAAAAACAATCACACAAATCGCTTATAATTTACTACTTGTACAGAAAATAACGACTATTATTATTACTACTACTATCATTATTTTGCACACCTAGTTTCGTCACGAATCAAGTGGACTGTGTTTGGATACTCTCGGTCAAAAGCAACACAGTCCACTAGGTCTCTCTACCTGTCATGGACAAGGTGGTAACCAGCTTTTTGTCTGGACAACCAAAGGTGAAATCCAGGCCGAGGTAGGATGTGTGAACCCCACTGACGACAGTGAAACATCTATCCTGTTCAAGCCTTGTTTGCGGCTTGATACAGGCTCACAGCTATTCGACTATCAGGACAAGGTGAGGCGAGCCTACTTTGGTAGTGTGCTTTTTCGCTTGTATGCATATTGCTCAACAACACGATATAAAACGTTTCAATGTGATTTCACTCCTTACCTCCACGGGCGGGAAATGCGGGCTGTTGTGTTACACTGTGGTCAGAAATTTACATCGATGTTTTTGCGTCGTTTTATTCTGCGGTATCCTGTTTTTAAATGAATTGAGTTTTTCAGAACCAAGTGATTTCCACAAGGTCTCACCTCAATCGACCAGTTAGGTTTACGGTTTACAGAACAGTTCCCGAAGATCCGTACGATCTAATGACGAACTTGGCGGTCGTTGGCTTGTTCGCTGAGCTGGGCAATTTGATTGCAAACGTTTCATCACCAATCGGGGTGACATCACCAGTGCGTTATTGGGGAGCGTAGTAGTGCGTAGCGGTGGGTTGGTGGTTGTGCAATTGAATTGCCCAGCTCAGCGAAAAAGCCGACGACCACCAGCTACGCTACCTGAGCTACCGACATTTTCCTGTGAAGAAGACAAACTTGGCGTTTGATGACCTAGACTTCAATGGCTATTTACAGAATAGGAGCGCTTCGGCCAAACAATCAATACAAGTGACTGAACAAAACAGTTCGATTAACCTATAACGCCACCCACCGTTCAATCACGAGATTCACATCACCTGATCACATGTTGAGTGTGGACTTCTCAGATAGGAGATTCATGCAGCCCCCTTTCTGGGCTACTTGTAGCTCGTTGGTCAACTCAAACTGCTGCAGAGTTAATCATAAGATAGAACAATTTCAGTCGAGCAGGTCTAAACAGTCAGTGAAGCTTTCACAACAGCTGTTTATGCCTTTCGTCACTGTGTTTCTCCAAACCTTTAAGACGAATGCTTACTGTCCGCTGTTTCGAATGCTTCTGATATACGGTGTCCTGACCCGGGAAATCGACCAACAAAAGTCTTCGGTTTGCTCCATTTTATCGGGCAGACTCAATGCTTTTTCTCAGTGTATGGCGTTCCAAATCTCGCATTGACTTTTCGAATTCGCCTGACTGATTTGCTCGGCACCCATTTTGCTCTTTAGCAGTTTGTGTGCTGACGAAAACAGACAAGCTTTCTGAATGAATGACGTTCGCTCGCGTTGACCTTCAATTGCACACTGTGAAATACCGATGATTGGTCGACAGGCTTTCCTCTAGATTTGGAGGGTTATTAGCTAGTCGTGTTACAGATTCTGTATCACCTACCCCTACAATGAGTTTTTCTATGCTAGCCATGGATGCCTTTGATCAGACTGTTGACGTATGGAATAATTTCCCTACAGTTATTTCATTCGTCTAATCAGATCCCAATAATCGTTCAGCTGTAACACACGGTGTCTAGCTGCCGTGCCATCCGAAGGAAGCACGAGGGCTGGGATACTGCCAGGTTTCCCAAGCCCAGGCAGGGGCAGTCGAGAGGCAGAGGTGGGGGTTCGAATCAC